TCACTGTGCAGTTCAGGCTGGCCTTGAACTCACTATGTAGCCCAGGCTGGCCTCAAACTCACAGTGATCCTCCTGAGTGCTGGGATTACAGGCATGTGTCACCATACCTAACCTCCAATAAGACTTTCCAGTATCAGTTCTAACTTAATAATTTTAAGCAATCGAGGTAGAGGTGTTACTGCATTATAGGTTTCTTCCTATTTTTCTTTTCTTGGTTTTGAGTCAGGAGTCTCACTATGCACATGCTGGCCTGAAAGTCACAATTGGCCTTAGCCTCCCAAGTGCTAGGATTACAAGTGTGTGCCACCAAAATGGCTAAACCTCCCCTAATAGGCAAATTTGCTAAAGACTTGGTGGCCAGCCTGTGGGGCTACCGGGAGGTGGCTGAGCCTTTAGAAGGCGGGGCCTAGAGGGAGGAAGTCAGGTCATAAAGGAGATACTGGACCTCGCTTTCTTTTTCTTCCTGGCTGTCACAAGGTGAGCAAGCAGTTCCGTTTCATTACACCACAACACGCAGTCTCACCACAGGCTCAAGGGCACAAGAGCCCGCTGACTCTGGCGCCTCTAAACATCAGCCAGGATAAACAGTTCCTCCTTTTTACACTGTTTACCTCCAGTGTTTGACACAAGTGAAAAAAAGCTAACATACTAGGACATAAATCTCAATACATTTAAGGACAAAAATCTCTCCAACGAAAGCATCTGAAGCTCTTGAAGTAATACTGCTTTGATGTTACAATTAAAAAAAAAAAAACTAGAAAAGATGCATACTAACGTTTCAGAACCTTCTCACTAGCAAGATGATTTAAAAGATCAGTCTCTGACTTGCTGGGTCAAGGGCAGGAGGCGCAGCGGAGGAAGAGGCACAAGAGCTAGCAGCCAACACTTGGTCCTTAAAGAACACATTTACATCAGAATTATAAGACAGCTTTACTTCAATTCAAAAAGTAAAGAAAAAGGAACAAATAAAACTCTGTAAAATGAGTACACCTATATAGAACTTGACAGAATGCTCTTAAGTGGCATTCTTGTTTTAGAAACCACATTTTCACTGATGTTCAGTGGATATATCCAGGCCCAAAAAGTGACCTTCACCTGAACCTCACATCTTATACAACCACTACCTCCAGAGGAGCACAGACTTAATGTAAAAGATATAATTAGAAGATGCTTAGAAAAACCATAATGCACTGTTGCTGGGAATGTAAAGTGGCACAGCTCTGTCTCAAAAAAGTGAATGTAGACAGTCTATTGTGACCTAGAAATCCCATTCCTAGGTATATGCCCAAAGGAAATGGAAAGTAACACGCAGCTAGCTACTTGTACATATATGTTCATAGCAGCATTCTTCACAACAGGCAAAAGACGGTAACAACGTGGTATATACCTATACAATGGCATAGTATTCAAGAAGGAATGAAGTAAAGGTTAAGTACCCCTTATGCAAAATGCTTGGGAACCAGAAGTGTTTCCAGGAAGTTCTTGGATTTTAGAAAACAGAGTCCACCAAAAAAAGTATACATAATTCAGGAAAGGAAAAATAGTATGATTTTTTTCTTTCCAACATATAGTACTGCCCTCGTATGGGAGACCCTAAAAAATGTCACATATTGAAGAGAACCTACTATGCAGAGGACCACCTGGACAATTCTTGAAAGAAGAGCAATTCTTTCCATTTTGGCTAAACCTCTCCCTGTTTCCATGTGCTGACATGTACAGAGCTGCCTAGGACTTTTCCTTAGCCCTTCAATTGGCTTTAAGTAATGCAAATCAGTCCCACTGAGGTGCTGATGTGTAGTCTTAGAAGCAAACATGACGGCAGCCCCCTACTCAACTCCCAAAATAAAACATGTGTGAGCCAGTGCTTCATGTGGTTGGATGCGATGGAGCCTCAAAATAAGAGGCTATGACTTCCCAGAGTACAAAAGATTACACACCAGAGCTGAAGCCCCACCTCCGAACATTAGACGCTACCGCAACTATGCAGATTACTTTTTCTGCATATCCTTCTCTGCGTATTGCAGAGGTGATTTCAGGCTTCCTACCTGGCCTAGCTCACAGCACTCACCTACTTCCTGCCATTCTCAGTCACTCACCCCAAAGCCTCTGCCTTCTTCACGAATTAATAAAACCCAGGCTTGGCCTTGGCTCAAGGCCTCGTTACAGTTAGCCATTATCTTAGCTGGACTTAGGATCTCTTGGCTTCCAATAACTACAAATATGCCTTAGCGTCTTTATTTTTGCCATGGTAGCACTGGAAGTGATAGACTGGAATTAACTTGATGGGATTCCAGTAATTTTTTCATGCTATTACAAATACAAACTTCCTAGGCCTTGATACAGAGAGCCGGAAGGGCTCTCTATACCATTACACTGCCAGACCTTAGAGAAGAGACTGAAAATGCATGTGCAGCAAACTCAATGACCAACGTCACCCAAGTAGCAGT